TTGTCTTTTTTTCTTCTTCTCAACAAAAACTTTAATGATTCTTATATAAAGTTTATAAAAATCTTTGCTATTTAAAGATGTCGCTTATAAATTTTTTTTTTTTAATTTTTACTTTTTCTATTTTTACTTATACCAAAGTCTTATATAATTAGATAATATAAATAGAAAATTATACAATTTTCAATAATACTCTAATTAAAATCATTAGCTACTTTATATAAAAGCGTTTTGCTAATATAAAAACGTTAGTAAAGATAAACCTGTTAAAGTTATTTATTTTCATCGTAATTAAAAACCAATATTTTCAGCGCATTTGTTAAAAACCGTGGTTACATAATCAAAACAAAATATTGTTTGCGTGGTCATATAAAGACTTGAAATCGCACACATTCCTGGCCAAGCCTGGGTGTAGTGTCAGCCACAATTCATAAGGTCACTTTAAAATAAGTCTATATAAGCATCTGCCTTACAGGTTTATCCCATGTCATCAGTAAGTGTAGTGGTAAAACACTCGCTTCATAAGTGAGAGGTTCCGAGTTCGATCCCCACCACGTCCCTGGTAGTACCGTGCTCAACTTGTTTCTCCGCGCAGCAGCCTTGTTCGTCAAGGTTCATGTTTCGGAGTTATAGAGTTGAGAGAGGGTTATAACCACTATTAAGTAGCCTCCTCCTCTGTAGTGGCCTTCTCGGACTTGAAGAGGTGAATGACAAAAAAAAAAAAAAAAGGTACATGTATACCTTGCAATATGATGCCTAACCTTTTTTCATAAATGGCTAATAACTACATGTCTGCCATTCTAGTATTGCTAGACAATTTCAGATAAGGATTGTTATTTTATTTCGATTGTGTTTTCTAATGAGCAAGAAAGAGAGAACGTTATTGGTTTATGATCTGATGCTATAACATCTATCAGAACTGAAATATTTATTATCAGATTGTCAATTGTTGGGCTGCACAAAATGTGATTCAACCAAGAGACATGATTTTCATCATCACTATCATATATAAAAGCGTTTTAAATTAAGAACTTAAAAATTTAAGAACTTATCAAAAAATCTTGACCCTTCCTTGCAAATGAAGTTGCCAGCAATAGTATGGATAATATGGGTAACATCTGCCTCAGCTATAATATATAATATAATATAATAGACTTTATTTTTGAATATAAATCAACGTAGTTATGGAAACTGTGCTCATCGTTATAATTTGTGGGCATATACAGGCCTTGTTTTAAATAAAAAATGCTAAATGCATTAGCTTAACGTGATATTTGACGTCATAAAATTCTCTTTATTTTTTTATTTTTTAAAGACATTAACATTTTAAAATTAATGCAATAATATTAATTATTATTATAAGGGAATGTTTGATTTTTTTATTATTATTATTTTTTTTGATATTAAATAATTAAATTTAATATTACATATATAAAAATGTTTGATATTAACAAATTTCTTTCTTTTCTTGATATTTGCATAAATGAATTAAAATATGTTTAAATTTTTGAATTTTTAAAATGATTATTTCTTAAATTTCTAATTGAGTCTTTGCAACTACAAATGATTTTTTATTTTAAAAAAATCAGCAAGTATCATAGAAAAATTACGGTAATTTATTTACTTTATTTATTAAAAGTTTATTATTATTTTATCAAAATTATATTGCTGTATATATCGTTTATTAAAAAATAATCGCTGTGATTTAACTTGCGTTATAAAAAAAAAAGGTTTAACTTAGTTTTGTGCAAATATTTGATGCAGCCGTTAAAATTTATTAGCCAAAAAAACAATTATAATAAAAATGAGCTAATTTTTTTTTAAGAACAAATAAAATTTCAATATTGAATAATATTTAGTAATATTTTTAAATAAATTTGACAATTAAGTTAATCCCAAGCATTAACTTTAATTTTAATAAACTTAAAAATATTTTTTAAATTATGTATTTTTAAAATCTAAATTAATTTATATATATATATTTTTATCAGAATAAAATAATATATTTTTATTAAATGAGTTTTAAATTAAATCATATATTTTTTATCAGAATTAAATTTTGTTTTTATGATCTTTGCTTCAAGCTTTTTCATTGGTAAATAGTGCTTAAATCGAACATAATTGTCATTCAAACTTTTTTAACAAATATTTTTACATAAACGTCATTCAAAAGTTAATGTGACTTGTTTTAAAAGTAATTATTTCTTTTATCTTACCGCTTATAGAATAATTTAAAAGTTAGAAAATGATAAAAATTCACTTAACTGAAATCGCTTATTGCTTTAGTAAAATTGCTTAAGGCGTACATAAATTGCTTAAGGTGTACATAAATTGCTTAAGGCGTACATAAATTGCTCTATGCGTAACGCTTTAAAACAAGGGCTGATATGTGAAGCACTGAGCTGTGAATCAAACCACAAGGTACTGCTACTGTAGCTTGACTTCCATCAAGTCACAATAGCAAAATCTTTTAATATGTTCTTTGAGTTAAATCTGCCATTTACAATTTTGAAATTTGTAAATCTACAATTTACAAATTTGAAATAAACTGATATAAATAGAAATAACAAAATTACAGACCTTTTTATTGAAAAATTAAGCATAATCTAGTTAAAGAAAACAATATTAGCAAGTTATTCAATTATGTTGATAACGAACTAAGTAAAACTACAAATATTTTTCCTCTAAAAGACAAAAACAATAGTAACAAGATGACTTGTAGTAACAAAGAAGTTGCTGACGTGTTTAACAAACGCTTAGGTAGTGTCATACAAATGATAACAATTATTCTTCATTTATTAATAGTTATGTGAATAATTCAATTGATATTGAAAATGTAAAATTTCCCCCAGAAACAATGTATAAATCTTTAACTTAAATTAAAGCCAGCATTTTTGTTGCCAAACTCATTTGTTGTGTATTCTACTTTTATTTATATTTGATGCCAGCTTTAAGTCAAGTTCTTTACCTAACCAATAACGCCAAGCTATCCTGCCTCCAGTTTTTAAAAAAGGTGCTACTGTGGATCTAAATAATCATAGACTCATCTCACTGACATGCACTTGTTGTCTCATCATAGAAATATTGATTAATGTGTATGTTATAGAGTATCTAGCTCATCATAAGTTAACTAACTCATATATCAACATAGTTTCCTTGACAAACGCTTCACCTAGACAAATCTATTAGAATCTACTAATGATTAGAACACTGCACTTGATAACTACCAAATAACGGACGTTGCATAAATTGATTTCCAAAAAGCGTTTGACTTTGTCTCCCATCCCAAACTATTAATTAAACTTGCATTGTATAATATAAGAGGTAATCTTTAAAAATAAATTTCTGGATTCCTCACCGATAGATATAAACAAGTTAAGGTTGGTAGTTCTCTATTAAACTCAATACGCATTTTTAGTGGAGTTCCCCAGGGTAGTGTGTTAGGTCCCACATTGTTTCTATTATAAGTTAATGATTTAACTACCATAACTCTGACAATCCAGATATAAATCTGGATTGTTGTTTAAAACTTTATGTGGATGATATAAAGATATATAATTTGTACTATGATATAAATTTAAGCCAAGATTTAGTAGTTACTCTAAATAGGCTCTGGACAGAAACATGGCAACTATTTTTAGGCTGTGGCGCAGTGGTTAGAGCGCTTGCTTAATAAGCAGGAGATCCAAGTTCGAAATGAGCTTAAGACATATTTCGCGTCACGGTAAGGAAGGAGGTGTGAACTTCCTGGTTAAAAGCACTTCTGCGGTGCTCTGTGACAAGATTGTTAAGACTTCTTGGGGTACATAAATAACAAATTTAAAATTAAAAAAAAAAACAAAAAACTATCAATTGCTAATAGTAAATATTTTGCACTTAGAATAGCACCTCCCTCGTTACACAAAGGTATAAAGGATAACTATAAATTAGGTGAGTGTACTTTGGCTTGTTCTTCTAACTTAAAAGATCTAAGAGTAAGAATGGATTGTAAACTTAACTATAAAAAACGTATTTCTAATGTCATCCATCAAGCTAACTCTAAAACATATCTAATGTTGAAATATTTTTTTAAAGGCAACCCTTGTAATGAGACCAATTTTAGAATATTGTTCTTCAGTCACCACACCAAATTGAATTGATTAAATCAAATGAAAGTGTTCAACAAAAATTTACTAAGAACGTTTAAAAATAAAGTTAACGTTTAAAAATAAAGTTAACTCTTTTGACTTCAACAAATATTTATTCTAAAAGAAAAAACTATTTGTTTCTTTATAATTTAGTAATAATTTTTGTGGTGATGCAAGCTTTGCCGTAAAGCGTGTGCGATTGCACACATTGTACGTCAACACCTAAAGTCATTTTTTAAGACAACTTGACCACGTTTTTATATAGTAAGCGTTTTAAGAATTTTAGGAAAAAAAAAGCTATAAAAAACTAAAGAATAAAATAGTAATACTCAAAGAAAAGAACCAAAGACTATATGAAACAGAAAATCTAAATAAAATAAGCTAAAAAAAATTAAATAATAAAAAAAATTGTTTTCAAAAAAATAATATACCTAAATATTTTACTCTTTTTGTTTTCTTATTTTTAGGGTATATGTTGTTTTCCACTACCAAAATTGATACAAGTCGAGAAAAAAAGTGGATGAGAATATAACGAAAAATTTTTTTTTTTTGATATACAATTTTTTCGCGACTTTTTTCAGTATATTAAGGAAATTCTTTATAATTAGTGCTAGAAATACAGACAATTTTTAAATTTGTTTTTCAAATGTCTTTGCTAACCTTTGCTGTTTTATCAATGCACAGGAAAGCGAGAATACTAGTTGCTATTTATTTATAGAAGAATTTTTTTTTTTTAATTTTCATATAAAAAAATAAAACGATGCTCCGAAATCTTGTGGGCTAGTGCATTGTTAATTTACTGAACTTTTTTAACGAAATTTTTAGGAGCCTGTTTAAAACTTTTTTTTAAGTTTTTAAATACATTTTTTTAAACAGAGCAATCGTTATGTTCATTATGCCTAATAATTCGTATTAACATTGGAAATTGGGCAATACAAAAGAAACAATTTCAGACATACATCAAATGCGGTAAATACATTTATTAAAGAAACTATGTTATTCTTTTACTTAACTTATTTTGTCATTATAAAATTTATTCATCAAAAAATATTTTTTACAAATAAATAACAATTTATTTTCTTATTTTCATATTATATAAGTATTGAGAAAAAACGTCAAATATAGCAAAAACATTTTTAAAAGCAAAAAGACGTAAAAACCAATAAACTTAAGAAAAAAATTAACAAAATTTCTTATAGTTAACGTACATAGCAAATTGGTTTCTTAATTATATGGACTGATAAAAATTGTGAATTAATTGCATATCAAAACTTTCAATTGTTGTTAAATAGTTATAAAAAATGTTTTTTTTAACAATGACTCAAAAAAAGAATACAAAAGTTGTATAAATATTTGATATGAAAAAATAAAAAAATATTTTATTTACTTTTTTGAATTACTAAAATTTCTAGTTTATTTAATTTAACTACAATTTCGCTACAATTTTGTTTCCTTTTTTTCAGGGTTGTTTTTTTTTCTTAGAAGATAAGTTTAGCATTTTGCCACAAAATATTGAAATACTTTTTAATTTAAAAGGTGCAAACTGCCGTGGTCAGTTTGTCTGAAAAATTACTTTAAACGTGGACAAACTAGGCGTGAAGCCGCACATGTTTCCTGGGAAGGCTTGATGATGTCCTAATAAATATCTATCTAATTACTGATAATTTGGTAAATAAAAATATATTGAAAATAAATACAAATTATAAAAGTAATAAAAATAAAATTAGTTCATTAGTTCAAAAAGAAAATAAATCACATTATTTTCAATGTATCATCTTTTTGAAAATATACAAGAAGCATAAATCATCTATACTTCTGTCACTTAATTGCAATTTTTGTGGCAATGAGCCTTTCAGCAGAGAAGCCACGTTCTGCTTCAGCACTTGTTGAGCGAATGGTCAAGAGAAGATCGCATACAATTTCTAATAATTTGTTACGAATATTTTAATACTTGCAATATCTTTCTTGTTTTTCTTCTTAGTATTTTTTTTCTAGAATTTAAGTTTTTTTTTTTTTAATTTCTAATCAAACTTTCCTTTTAACAGTATATACATCTCAGTATTTAATTTTAGAAGTGGTGATGAAGCTGAAGGTACATCAACTACTGTAACTCCATCTACATGATTAACAGATCATCACTATCACTGACAACATCATTTCAATTCTTAGAAATACATTCAATTAACTCAACAATTGATTTAGTTAAGGCATTTTTACTGATTTTATTAAATATTCCATTATTGTCAACATTAATGCTATTTAAATTGTTCGAGAAAGTGTAAACTGACACTTTGCCGTTTTTTTATTCGTAATATTAATTCATTCTTAAGTTCGTTGCTTAATAAAGTATTTTGCTGAGTTAGTTTATCTAACATAAATTGTTATATCAGCTGTGTAAAATCTTCGTAACACAATGTTTTTATAGCAATTTTTAAAGGCTGCAAGGTTGATATTATGTTTGATAATAAGCTAATATCGTTTTCATCAAATGTGATTGTAGACTCTATATCAATTCGACTTTTTTGTATAGGATTTCTAACTTTATAGAAAAACTCCAACATTGTTAGTAGTCTACTTCAATAGGTTGTTAAAGTGTTAAAAATTAATGAAACTTCCTTACTCAATTTCCCTTTGATATTTTTCTGCAGTATTTCAATTTTTGTCGGTTAAAGGCAAAATATTATAACAATTTTGCAAATCTTTTTTATCAGCAGATCAATACTTGTCTAATAATGGGAACAATTTTTGTTTCAGATAATAGCTCTAAACTAACAATATCTTTTTCGTCATTATTCAAAATGTATTCTTGTTCTAAATAAGTTGAACTTGCTGATGAAAAACA